ATTAGTCTGGCACTACAGGTGGCAGCTTTGCCTGCCATGCCATGGGGTTGACTCCAAAATATTGTTTCCTTGTGTGTGTGTGTGTGTGTATGGTAGAAATGTACACACACACACACACACACACACACACAATACTCTTAATCATCGTACTTAAATTTGATAAACCAGCCCATTCTACATGTCCTGTCACTTTTTATGTCACTCATGGTTACCCTCCTTGCCAAACCAGCTGAGGGGACAGCAAAGTTAAACATTGTCCTCCGTTTATGACACATGAGTAAGGTCTGTGGACAGAGAACAATCCTTCGGAAAGTTTGAGGAAAAGGTGGAATTACAAATAAGTCTATTCTAGTACAAAACAATTTTGAAATTCATGCTTTGCTTTTTCCTAATGTGCATTTCCCCCAAAGTCCCAGGGTTGTTGATCTAACCTACGAGAGGCCAGCAGTGACACATGGCAAAATGAGTCCAAACCTCCAGAGCTCAGGGCTCTGCATGATGCCATTCTAGGAGCACTGGTGAGAAACTGGAGTCCTGTAGGCTTCTTTAGGTGCTGGTCTCATCATAATGTGCCAGCTTTGAGCTCTGAAGTGTGTCCTGCACAGCTGTAGTTTTGTTTCCTGCTGGTGGTTGGGGCAGGCTGTCAGAGGCCACCTGGCAGTAGAAGATCCCAATACTCACTGCCCTGGTGTGGTCCTGGGGCCAGGGCAAGGGCTGCCATCCATATTTTTCACAGTGGCCCTGGTCCCGTAATGCCCACGCAGGAGGCAACTATCTCTGCATCCATCGTTGGAGTGGGGGAAGGGTGGCATGCCTGGACAACTCTTGTTTTTGCTTTCTTTGATGTGACTCTTGTCATGTCAGGGTTAGAACAAGGTGAGGCATTGTTTCCCCTGCCTGACTGCAGTAGCTCTTGAGAAGCTAACTTGGTGTATGTGTAACTAGTCACATTGCTGTCTGCACAGGAGCCTCTTAGCCTGATGCCATCCAGTGAGAGAGCTCAAGAGCTCCCGTTCAGTTAGCCCAAATGCCTGCAGTGGCCAAGGCTGGGCCAGGCTAAAGCCCGGAGCCAAGGACTCAGTCCCAATCTCCCACATGAGTGACACTAATTTCACCCTTGCGCCATCACCTGCTGGATCCCAGGGTCTGCATCAGCAGGACGGTGAGTAGCCATGACCTCAGCCAGGCTCTCCATGTGGGATGCAGGTTAAGCAGCATCTCAGTTGTTAGGCCAAATGCCCGCTCAGAAACCACATGTTCCAAACACATAGTCTTAGTGCATGAACACTTACTTTAGGTTTTACATTTACAAAGATGTTAAAAGTAACTGAGACCAATTGATTTAGACTGCTGTACATTGGACCAAGGGATGAAAAATAGTATGAAAGTGGATACACTTTGCAAGGTGAGCATTCATGGATCCAAGTAGAGTCTAGAATTTCATTGATGTTTGATAATTTATAAGAAACAAGGTAAAAGAATGAGTCAGTGCATTCTGTTGATCACTATTTTAGAAGGATTAGCACAAAGACAGACAGTGAATAGTTTCATACTTCAAAAACCAATTTGGGACCCGGCACATTAGCCTAGTGGCTAAAGTCCTCCCCCTTGCACATACAAGGATCCCGTATGGGTGCTGGTTCTAATCCCAGTGTCCCGGCGGCCATGCTTCCCATATAACTCCCTGCTTGTGACCTGGGAGATTTTATGGGCATTTGCAATATGAACCCTCAGAAGCTCCCTCCACATTACTGAAAAGTGTTTTAAGACATAAACCATGGGCCCACCGTGTTAGTCTAGTGGCTAAATTCCTTGTCTTGCCTTCCTTCCAGGCCTGTGTAAAGAGCATTGCAGAATACACACAGAGACAGGCAACATCTGGACACATCTCTAAGGTATGTATGAACAATGGCAATGAATTGGTGATTGAGTTTATTCCTTTTATTTGCATGTCTTTGAAGGGAAGGGCAGAAGCTTTTTGTGAAGATTGATTTAGTTTTGGGTGTAGTGCTTAAGGTCCTCCCCTTAAACCCACCAGGATCCCATATGGGCGCCAGTTCTAATCGTGGAGGCCCGCTTCCCACCCAGCTCCCTGCTTGTGACCTGGGAAAGCAGTGGAGGACAACCCAAAGCCTTCCAGTCTTGCACCTGTGTGGGTGACCCAGAAGAGGCCCCAGGCCCCTGGCTTTGGATTAGTGCAACTCTGGTTGTTGCAGCTGCTTGGGGAGTGAATCATCAAAGGAAACATCTTGTTGTCTGTCTCTCCTCCTCTCTACACATCTGCCTTTCCAAAAAATAAATAAATCTTTTGCAAAAGTTCAGGGATAAAATGAATTGAAAAATAACTGCAATTTTGTCCAAAAACTCTAAAGTCAATGTGTATGAGAAGTCTGCAGTAAGTTCATGGAAATGTGACTTGTTAAACCAAGCAGAATTTTCCCATATTATTCCACATTCCACAAATGTTTGAAAGCAGCATGATTCATGTTGAAGTTGGATAGTTTTGAGATATTCGTTATTATGATCTGCACAGCTATGAAGATTGCTTTCGATGTGCATGGTTGTACCTAAACATTTCCTTTGGTTTGTGTGGTGGTTAGAATTCGTGCAGCATGGGAATGCTGCTGTGGTGCAGTGGGGGAAACCATGGCTTACACCACCAGCATTCATAAGAGTAGCAGTTTGAGTCCCAGCTGCCTCACTTGCCTTCAGGCTGCCAGCTGGGGAGCCTGGATCCCTGGCACCTGTGTGGGTATCCCAGAAAAAACGCATGGCTCATTTGGACAATGAATGAGCCAGGAGTGAAGAGAAGTCATCTTTTGTTTTATGACTCTCCTTTTCTCTCTGTACTTTAAAAATACATACTTATATTCATGCTTTCTCTTGTTAATCTTCCCCTAAGTTCTATCTATTTCTTTAAAGATTTATTTATTTTCTTGGAAAGGCAGATGCACAGAGAGGAGGAGGAGAGCCAGTGAGGAAGATGTTTCAGTCGGTCATTCACTCCCCAAGTGGTGGCAACGGCTGGTGCTGCACTGATCCGAAGCCAGGAGCCAACAACCTCTTTCCAAGTGTCCCAGGCAGGTGCAGGGTCCCAAAGCATTGGGCCGTCCTCGACTGCTTTCCCAGGCCACAACAGGGACAGTGGAATGGGAAGTGGAGCTGCCGGGATTAGAACCTGCGCCCATATGGGATCCCGATAGGTTCAAGGTGGGGACCTTAACCATTGCTCTATCATCCAGGCCCAGTTCTATGTATTATAAATTGCCTTTGACTATGTGCATGACTCTACTGAATCTACTCCAGGAGACACAGTTACTTTCCTCTCACATTCCATAGTGATGGGCAAATGTTTGGCCACTGTGTTATTTGATTTTACTTAGCACTTGAAAGCACTGAGTGTTTTTAGCCTGTGCTTCATAATGCTATATTGTTGAGTTATCCTCCATAATTTTCTATGCAAAACAATTTTTTTCACTGTCAAGTAAGAGCTCACCTATTCTAAGGAACATTTTTCTCCTCCAGATGACCATTTCTTTGATAAGGATTTTCTTGCCTTAGCATCTGCTCCCTCTATTATTTTTCAAATTTAATTGTGATTGCAGTTGATAACTCCATAATCCATATCTGGAATCTAGACAGCTCTCTTGGTCCCCATTTAATCCTATCATAATCTCCGCTATTATGACGCAAAAAATGTCAAACTTCACTATTGCTAACACCCCCTGACACAATAATCAAAACAGATTCTCGTTGTTTTTCTATGAACTATAATGAATTTCTGCACCGTAGTGTGTAACCTGATATGAAATAATAATGCTTTTATTTTTTTTCCTTGCTTTCATGCACCAATGCATATATCCATGCATTTCTACATGTTAAATATTTCCAACTATTTCCCCTTAATTATTTCTGTAATGATGCTAGTTTGGACAGCTGTTGTCATCAACCTTAATTTCTCCCATCTTCCCAAAAGCATTTTTCAAGTCTATGCTGGTTCTTTTGTCAAAATTCATTCACTACTTACTACCTCTTCCTCTCCCTCTAAATTCTCAAGGAATCTCTTTTGGTTTCAAGTGGGACCTACCATTTCTTCGCATGATAGTAATTCTTTCAGGGAGGTAGACATTAGTCAAATGGTGAAGATACTGCCTTGGACACCTTCATGCCATGGTGGAGTGCCAAACCTGGCTTTCTGATAACGGAAGCCTACAGGTTATAGCTCACATAGCCTATTCATTGCCACCCACATGGGAAAATGGACTTGAGCGCGTGGCTCCTGGTGTTTGACTGATGTAGCCTATAGTAGTGTAGGTATTTGCAATGTTATTTAGAATTTGGCTCTCGCTCCGTCTCTCTTTCTCTCCTTCTCTGCCTCTCCGTTTACAATAAACTTAAAACTAGAATTTACTTTTAAACATGTTGAAAGAATTCACAAGATAGCATAGCTGTTCAACTCATTTTCAGGTAATTTTCACATGATCATCTAATCTCCTTGCACCAACATGGCAATAACTCTGTTTCATTTTTAATCGTTCATCCATTTAAAAAATTAGGCTTTCACCTGAACTCCTTACAAATTAATTATTTTCAAAGCGCCTGTGCCTTGGTTGCCACATAGAGTTCTCGATCCAAAGAAAAATTCTGAGAGATTTTTGTTGAATGAATAAATGAAACAATAAGAACCATGGAAGAAGTTTCTTAAAAGACAAATATAGTGTACAGTTTTTCAAAACCAACATGAAATATGTCAAAACTGATAGATCACATTTTATTTGTACAGCAGTCAAAACCTAAAATTGCATGTCTCTAAGTGGGCCTCCAGAGCCCAGTGCAGCAAGGAGCCCCCATCCCCATCTGACCACACAGAACTTCCCAGGGTGAGGAGAGGAAGCACAGCAGGGCGCCCTGGTGTCCAGGAGGAGGAAGAAAAGGGTCCCCAAGGGCGGCGGGGCATCCAGTGGAGGAATCCTGCGTGGTGCTGACGTGGAGATATTGGCCGCTTGGTCACTTCCTGCGAGATGCTGCGGCCTCGCACACTCAGTCAGTGAAGAGCCAGTGGAGAAAGAGGACAAGTCACTGGGTTCTCCAGAGTGGAACTGTTCTCTTGCCGAAGATGTGCAGCAGGCTCCGGGAGAGGACGTAAGGGCTCATGGACTCCAGCTGAAAATCATCCTGCCTGCTGTCCACCTGCCCCCCACCTGGGGAGGGTCTCGCAGTGGCTGCCATGGTGGACCTGGGGCCAGCTATGTGCGAGTTGGTGCCGCCCCCAGAGTGCCTGGTCTCTGAGCCTCGCTGCAGGACTTGATAGACCCACTGGGCTTCATCAGCACCATCCGACCTGTTACTGAAAACACGGACACCTACAAGGTAAGAACCCCCAAGTTCTAGTGATCCAGGAAGGGGAGGCGGCAGCTTGGCCTTAGCACCTGTGTGTGGGAGCGCAGGTGGAAGCTTGTCCCCTAGGGCAAGGGTAGTTTGGCCATCTCCATCACAATGGTGCAGGAGTGGAGGTGGCTGCTTGCCTGCCTGCAGGGTTTAGGAGGATGGGCCATGGCTTAGCACTCAGTGAGGATTCCAGGAGGCGAGATTGCAGCTTGGCCATCTGCGTGGGGTCTAGGAGGGCAGGTAGTGGCTTGTCCCTAGGTGCAGGGTCCAGGAGGCAGGCGGTGGCTTGGTCCTTGGTGAGTGTTCCTGGAGGGCAGGCAGTGCCTTGGCCCTTTTGTGTGTTGTCTGGGAGGGCTGGTGGCAGCTTGGTCATTGGCATGGTCCATGAAAGGCATGAGGTTTCTTTGCCCTAGGCATCAGATCCAGGAGCTCAGGTGGCAGCTTAGTCCTGCATTCTGGGTGGAGAAGCTCAGGTGGTGGCTTCGCCCTCAGGGTGGGGGTCATCATGGCAGGCTGTGGCTTTGTGCTTTGTGTGTTGTTTTCTGGGAGGGCTGGAGTCCTTGGTGCAGAGATGAGAGGGAAGCTGGGGTCTAGCACGCAGTGTGGTCTCTGTGTAGAGTGGGCACAGGTGCCTCGGGTTCGTGCTTTCCTGCCAGGCCTGCTCCATTTCTGTCCTTGGGGATGTCCTTCCTTTTTTCCTTTCTCTCTTTGTCTCTCTCTCTCTCTCTCTTTCCTTTTTTTCTTATTTGGGTTAGTGATATATCAGTGTTGCTTAGTTTTCAGTAAATGTGTTCTTCATTGATCTTTTATCTTTTTTTCTATTTTGTTTATTGTCTAATTTCTTTCCTCCTAGTAATTTTGTGGTTTGTGTTGTTTGTCTTTTGCCTTGATGCCGTTTATCTGATGCCTTTCCATTTCTTAGTATAAGCACTGACCGCCCCAAATGTCCCTGTCAGCACTGCTGTTGTTGTGTCCCTTCAATTCTGATGCATTGTGCTATCTCCATTTGTTTACAGGAAGCTTTTGATTCTCCTTGATTTCTTCTGTGGCTCTTTGCTTAGGAGCAATTTGTTAAGTCATGTGTGAGTTTACGTATCTTTTAGATATTTGTAAGTCATTAATTTCTAACTGAATTAGATTGTGATCAGAATGTAATCAGAAAAGAGAAATGATATGGTTTCATTTTTAAAAAAAAATTATTGAGACTTTTGCTTTATATCTTAGCAGTGAACCATGATAAGAAAGTTCAAGGTACTGATGAAAAGGATGGTTTCTGGAGGTGTGGAATGAGTTCTCTCAGATGGCAATGAAGTTCTGTTAGTCCATAGTGCAGATTAGCCCTGTTGTTTCTTGGCTGATTTTCTGTTTTGTTGATCTGTCCACTGATGGAAGTGAGGTGTTGGAGTGGAGGGGGCCGCTCCTTGCTGTTGAACTGCATCAGCTCCCGGGGATAGGAGATGGCCTTTTGATGACACCTTAGAGACCCCGATGTGAGGAAGAACATTCCCAGAGTGTTGCTTGAGTGGTTTGGGCAGTTCTGACACATTGTTAGCTTTATTGCATCAGGGTTGAGAAGATCTTTTCCAGATCCGCTGGCTGCCCAAGTCCACCTTAGTGCATCCAGAGACCCGGGTACTTGGTGCAAGCTTGGCCAGGAGAATGATCTGATCTGTTCTGCTTTGCATTTCCTGATGTGGCACTTGATGTCCCCAGCTGGCCCAGATGAACTGTGCTTTGGGGCACACTGTCCAAACATTGCACAGGCCTCAGCACCTGAGGAGGCCCAGTCCACATTCTTGGGCTTCCGTCAGTTTATTTCTCTGCTTTTGAGTAAACTCATGCTTGGTATTTTTAATTGCTTTTAATACAACTTACCAGTCTCTTGTAAGGAGAGGAAGGGAGGGAAAGAGAAGCAGGGAATTGGATGCCAAGTATAGCAGCTAGAACCTGGAACTGTAAGCTCTATGCGATCCTGGTGCTTGCAAGGTGAGGATTTAGCCAATGAGCCATTCTACCAGGCCCTGGATCTCTCTATATTTAAGATTCACTTATTTTTATTGGAAAGAGTAGTGCAGAGAGAAGGAGAGACAGAGATCCTCCATCCATCATCAAATTTACCAAATGATCCTAATAGCTGGGGCTGAGCCAGTCCTTCTGAGTCTCCAGCCTGAATGCAGGGTACCAAGGACTTGATACGTCCTTTATTGCCTTCGTAGCCACAAGCCAGGAGCTGGATGGGCGGTGGAGCAGCCAGGACATCAGCTGATACCTTTATGGGATGCTGTTTCCTGAGTTATCTTTGCTGCTCACTCCAGACCAGCTGTTTTTAAGGTTAGCTAGTAGCCTAGAACCTCTGGGGCTTTCCTTTTGCTTCGTCCTGTGTTGCAGGTCTTTGTTTTCCTTATGTTTTTGATAGATCATATGTTCTAGTATAATGAGGAAGAAGGTCAGTGGGAAGTGAAGTAGACACTTGCTTCTTGAGGCCTGTGTGGTGTTGTGGATGGAATTGCTGCCTATGTTGCCAGTGTGAGTCCTGACTGCTCTGCCTTCATCCAGCTGCCTGAGAATGACCTGAGGGGAAAAGGTGAAGATGGCCCAGTTCCTTAGATCCCTGTACCCATGTGGAGGCCCAGACGGAGTTCCAGCTTCTGGCTTTAGCCTGGCCATTGTGGCCATCTGGGGAGTGGACCACTGGATGGAAGAAACATGTCTGTCTCTTCCATGCTTGTTGCTTTGAGTTTTAACATATACACATACATGCATATTCAGCAAAAAGAATCTTGCTTTTGTGGAGAGCTTTTGCAATGATGTGAGACTGAGTTGGTTTTGTGATGAGTAGAGCTGCTGCCTGCACAGCTGCCAGCCCACTGTTCAGGTCCTGGCTGTTCTACTCCGATCAACCCCTGCTGATGGCCTGGGACAATCACCAGAAGATGGCACAGGTTCTTGAGCCCTTGTCGCCTATAATGGAAGACCTGGATGAAGCTCCTGTGGATGGAAGAGCTCTTCTCATTTCACTTTTGAATAAGAATACAGATTTTAAAAATTAAATTATGAATCATTTTAGTTCAGTAAAATGATGTGAAAGTTTGTTTCTTCCTTTCCATGATTGCTGCTGAGAATGTTGCTGTGTTTATTCTTAACCCATTGTGACTTATTTGTAATTTATTTGAGTGGCAGAGAATCCAACAGGGAGACCTCCCTTCCGCTGATCACTGCCCACACGTCTGCAGTTACTAGCGCAGGGCCAAGCCACATCCAGGAGTCAGGAACTCAGTCTGGGTTTCCATGTGAGTGGAACCGGCAGCTGAGCCTTTTATCTGTTGCCTTTTATTTTGTATAGTATGAATAATTTAGTTAGAGACAGAAATTCGGCTGGTCTTCAAACCAGACAAGAGGTACACATAGAGTAAATCTGTTAAATGTCTAGTTTCAGTGTAGGCACTCTAATATGAATTAAACTTTAGAGTTTAAAACTTTTTCTTTTTTTAAAGATTTATTTTTATTATTTTTTCATTGGAAAGGCAGATATACAGAGAGGAGAAGGAGAGACAGAGAGGAAGATCTTCTGTCTGATGATTCACTCCCCAAGTGAGCGCAACAGGCCGATACTATGCCGGTCTGAAGCCAGGAGCCTCTTCTGGGTCTCCCACGTGTGTGCAGGTTCCCAAAGCTTTGGGCCGTCCTCGACTGCTTTCCCAGGCCACAGGCAGGGAGCTGGAAGGGAAGCGGGGCTGCCGAGATTAGAATCGGCGCCCATATGGGATCCCGGGCGTGCAAGGCGAGGACCTTTAACCCCTTGCGCCACCGCGCCGGGCCTTAGAGTTTAAAACTTTTGAGAGAGGGTTCAGTATGGTATCCTAGTGGCTAAAGTCTTTGCCTTGAATGTGTCAGGATCCCATATGGGCGTTGGTTCTAATCCTGTTAGCCCTGCTTCCCATCCTCTCTGCTTATGGCCCAAGAAAGCAGTTAAAGATGGTCCAAAGTTTTGGGACCCTGCACCCACATGGGAGACCTGGAGGAGGCTTCTGGCTGCTAGCTTTGGATAATTGGCTCAGTTCTAGCCGTGGCAGTCTCTTGGGGAGTGAATCAATGGACGGAAGATCTTCTCTGTCTCTTCTCCTCTCTGTAAATCTGACTTTGCAATAAAAATAAATAAGCCTTAACAAACTAACTAACAAACAAACAAGAAAAACTCCGTGAGAGGGACTGGCATGAGGGCTCAATGACTAAATGCTCACCTGTAAGTGCCAGGATCCCTTATGGTTGAGTGAGTGTCCTGGTGGCTCCACTTCCCATACAGCTCCTCGCTTGCGATCTGAGAAAGAGGAAGAGGGTGGCTCAAAACCTTGGGACCTTATCCCCCTGTGGGAATCAGAAGAAATGTCTGGCTCACCTCAGCTGTGGCCATTATGGCCATTTGGGTAATGATTCAGTGGATGAACATCATTTTTTGCCTCTCTTTTTCTCTGTAAACCTGATCTGCCTTTCCAAATAATAAAGTTTTTTTTTTTAATTAAATTATTCATTTGGAAAGTCAGATATACAGAGGGAAGGAGAGACAGAGCAAAAGATCTTCTGTAAGCTGGATCACTGCACAAGTGGCCAGAACTGAGCTAGTCTGACGATAGGAAATTCTGACAGGTCTCCCACATGGGTGCAGGGTCCCAAGGGTGTGGGCCGTCTTTGACTGCTTTCTCAGGCCACAAGCAGGGAGCTGGATGGGATGTGGCGCAGCCAGGGCATGAACCAGTGCTCATATAGAATCCTGGCGTATGGAAGTCGAGCACTTTACCCACTAGGCTGTTGCTTTGGGCCCAAAAATAAATCAATCTTTTTAAAAAGATTATTTTTTTTTATTACAAAGTCAGATATGCACAGAGGATGAGAAACAGAGAAGTTCTTCTGCCTGATGAGTCACTCGCCAAGTGACCACAAAGCCTGGTGCTACATGATCCAAAGCCCGGAGCCTTGAGCCTCTTCCAGGTTTCCCACGTGGGTGCAGGATCCCAAGTCTTTGGGCCATCCTCGACTGCTTTTCCAGGCCACAATCAGGGAGTTGGATGGGAAGCAGAGCTGGTGGGATAGGCACATATACCCATATGGTATAGCAGCTTCTACAAGTCGAGGATTTTAGCCACTGGGCTACCGTGCTGGGCCCAATAAATAAGTCTTAACAAGAAAAGCAACAAAGAAGCCTTAATAATCATTATATATTTTTGTTTGCCTGTAAATATTACAGATGTCACTATTGTCATTTATTTGTTGAAATCTAAAATTGAAGCCCAGAGTAATTTATGTGTTTAGCAGAGAATGCTTGACTCTACTTAAATACTAATTTTTACTTTTTTTTTTTTTAATTCAGATTGTTGGCAGCAAAGGAGGTGTTGAAATGGTCACCAAAGAAAAGTAGCGGTCTAAAGTTAATATCTGCTTGGAATATCTGCCAACTGGGTGTCGCTTGAATTCTCACTATGAAAGAATTCTCTACCCATAGAGCTGTTCCAGTCTGGTGTCAGTATTATGGTGAGTTGCAGCATTTTTCTTAGAAGTGGATAAATTGGGCCTGGCATGGTGGCCTAGTGGCCAAAATCCCTACCTTGTATGTGCCAGGATCCCATTTGGGCTCTGGTTTATATCCTAACTGTTTCACTTTCCATCCAGCTCCCTGCCTGTGGCCTGGGAAAGCACTTGAGGGCAACTCAGAGCCTTGGGACCCTGCACCCGCGGGAGACCAGGAAGGAACTCCTGCTTTCTGGCAGCTCAGCTGCGGCTGTTGTGGCCATGTGAGGGGTGAAGTAGTGGATGAAAAAAATCTTTCTCTCTGTAAATCTGCCTTTCCAATAAAAATAAAACTTTTTTGGGGGAGAATGTTTCAAAATTATTTTATGTTGGAAAGGCAAGTTGAGAGAGAGAGAAAGAGAAAGAGAGAGATCTTACATCCACTGATTCACTCTCCAAGTGGCTGCAGTGTCCAGAGCTGAGGCAGTCTGAAGCCAGGAGCCAGGAGCTTCTTCTGGGACTCCCACGTGAGTGTAGGGTCCCAAGGCTTTGGTCCATCCTTGACTGCTTTCCCAGGCTACAAGCAGGGAGCTGGGGGAGGGGGGCAGGGGGAGAAGCTGGAGCAGCTAGGGCCTGAATGGTGCCCATGTGGGATCCCAGAGCATGCCAGTTGAGGATTAACTGCTAGACTACTGTGTTGGGCCCCACTTCATTTGTTTTTATTGGTGAATAGTATTTTCCTTGTATTTACGTACCTTTCTACTTGTTTACTAGTTGAAGATCGATGGATTGTTCCAGTGTTTGGCTGTTAGGAATAATAGTAATGCCTGTTTAGGTATAACACTTTGTGTGGACATATGTGGCTGAACCATTTTACATCCCCCCAGTAATGTAGAGGCTTCCGGTTTTTCCATGTTCTGGCAAACATGTGTTGTCTCTTGTTTTGGTTCTGGCCATTTTATTAAGTATGTACTGGTATTTCCTTGTAGTTTAATTTGCATTTTCCTAAAGGCTACTGATGATGTGCATTGTTTCTGTTCATGTTAGCTGTTTGTGCATCTTCCTCAGTGGAGTGTTTGTTGGGTTGGCTTTGAACACTCTTAAGAAAAGTATACTTTGTTATACTAAATGCAAGTCCTTAGTCAGACACATGATTTACAAAAACTTTATTCTTGTGTGTAATTTGTGTTTTCATTTTTCTGATAGTATCTGCTTGAAAGAGTGGTTTGCAGAACCTGTTTTCCTTTGATGGATTTTAGTTTTCGTATCATTTAGGAAGCATTTTCCTTATCTGTGGCTGTAGTCATTTTTTTTTTCTCCATGTAGAAGTTCTGTGGTTTTCGCTTTTGTTATAGAGCATTTCCTTTTGAGTTCAGTTTTTCCCTTATTTTCATTTTATTTGAAAGAGAGAAGGGATAAAGCTTCCATCTGCTGGTTCACTCCCAGCCAGGGTAAAGCCAGGAACTCAATCCAGATTTCTCTTGTGGGTGACAGGGATTCAAATACTTACACAGTCATCTGTTGCCTGCCAGGCAGGAAGCTGAGTTAGGAATGGCGCTGGGACTTGAACTCAGGCACTGGCGTGTGAGATGTGGGTCTCACAAGTGGGGTTGTAACTATTGGCTTTTACATTTAGGTTCATCCTCAACTGTTTATTTTCCTGTGTATAACATCAGGTACATACGCAGGTTAGTTATTTGGGATGGAAGGCATATGAATATTCAATTTTGATGAGCACTATTTGTTTAAAACAATATTGTTCGATTGATTTAGCTAGGCTACCTGTATTGAGAATCATTTGAGTATAATTGTACAGTGTTATTTCTGAACTGTTTTGTTGTAATAATCCCCCCCTATGGCCAATCCTAAGTCAGTCCATGGTTTTATACATTGTTCTGTGGTTTTGATTACGTACAGCCAATTGCATTAAAAGAGTGCATGGAAAATTCTGGTAGTAAGCAGTTTGTAAGTTTTCAGTTGTGTGGTATTCTGATTAGTGTGGTGAAATCTCACTTGTGTGGTCCTCCATCCTGTCTGGAATGGGATTTATTCTTTTGCCCCTGTTTAATATCCATCTTAATTATCTTACTGGCTTTCATGGCACCCCAATGCTGGTAACCAGATATGCTTTTCTTCTTTTTTTAAGATTTTATTTATTTATTTATTGGAAAGGCAGAGTCGTAGAGACACAGAGAAATGTCTTTTGTTCTGGGTTCACGTCCTAAGTGGCTACAGTGGCTGCAACTGAACTGATCGAAAGCCCAGAAGCAGGAGCCCATTCCATGTCTCCCCCATGGGTGCAGGTCCCAAAGGCTTTCTAAAGGTGCAAACAGGGAGCTGGAATGGAAGTGAAGCAGCCAAGACACAAATCGGTGCCCACATGGGCCCCTGAAACATGCAAAGGGAGGAAATTTGCCACTGAGCAATAGCATCAGGCCCATTCCTGAGATATTCTCTTATTTTACAAAAATGATCTCAAAATACAACAGCAATGATGTTGGCAATTTGGATATGCTGAAGAGAAGTCAAAATGTGTTTTGTCTCATAGGAAAAATGAAATTAAAATAAGATTTGTTTAGATCAATGACTATATTCACATAACTCTTAGCATAGTATGTTACTGTGATTATTTGATTTCAGTATTTTTTTTCCTCAAGCTCTACCTAATACATAAATCAAACTTTCGTAGAAAAAAAAACTGTAGTTTTCCTCTATTTCAAACCTCCTTTGGTGGTCTTGGAATACCTATGAACACATCAATGAAGAACCTATTGCTAAAATGACAGGAACAAATTTCTACCTATCTGTATTAACCCTGAATGTAAATGGCTTGAACTCATCAATCAAGCACTGTAGCTTATTGAATTGGATTAAAACCAAATATCTATCTATCTGTTGCCTAGAGAAGGCACATCTCACCAGCAAAGATCAGCAGAAACTGAAGGTCAAAGGATGGAGAAAGATATTCCAGGCTAATGGAAAAGGAAACACGAGCTGGTATAGCCACTCTTATATCAGATGATATAGGCTTTAATGTGTAAAGCATTAAAAGAGGAAGAAGGGGGCCCAGAGCGGTGGCACAAGTGGTTAAAGGTCCTCGCCTTGCATGCCCAGGATCCCATATGCGTGCCGGTTCTAATCCCGGCAGCCCCGCTTCCCTTCCAGGTCCCTTTCCGTGGCCCGGGAGGGCAGTGGAAGACGGCCCAAAGCTTTGGGACCCTGCACCTGCGTGGGAGACCCAGATGAGGCTCCTGGCTTCGGATTAGCATAACAATTGCCGTTGTGCTCACTTGGGGAGTGAATCATGGGACAGATCTTCCTCTCTGTCTCTCCTCTCTGTATATCTGCCTTTCCAAAAAAAAATAAAAAAATAAAAATAAATCTTTTTAAAAAAAAAGAGGAAGAAGGACACCCTATAATGATCAAAAGGTTTATTCAGCAAGGAGAGATCACCTTACTAGTTTTCTAAAATGTTTTCCTTTTCATCTCTAATTTTACTTGCTTTTTCTTTCTTGCATTTCTTTACTCGTCTGGCTGAAAGTTTGTTTTGCTCATCTTCTTTAAAAACTGGCTCTTGTTACAATTTGTAGTTTTTTAGGTTCGATTGCATTTGTTATTGCTGTGATTTTTTTTATCATTTTTTGCTTCTTGCATTTTTAAAGTAAGTCCTTGGTATATCTTATTAGATCATTTGTTTGTGATATTTCTATTTGTAAACACCTGATGCTGTTATGACCAGATTTTGAGATCCCCAGGAATCTGAAGTTGATGTAAGCACACAAGGGCGGTTTATTCAAGCTCGAGCTAGGGCTTCCAGCCATCACCAACACAGAGGTTCTTGGTTGAGAGCAGGCAACCAACTGACCCACTGGCCAGCGGGACCAGCAGCTCTTACTGGAATGCGACCCTGAACATCACATTCACAGGGTTTTTTAGGGGCCCAATAACCCACAATAGCTTGAAAAGGGGTAATTCACAGTAGCTTGCAAGGTGAGGTGGGAAATACCACAAATTCCCTACCTATCTGGGCTGGACAGCCCATGCCTGGCTCTTCTTTGGTTCAGTGCATAAGTTAACCACCCACTTAATTACTTGGAGCCACCTGTGAGATACCCAGACTTGGGTGGACCTTGGTTCATGAAAATTGGAGCTCCTCAGTGCAAAAGGTCACACGGCCCTTTGGCCTTCAAGCTCACATGGTTTCTTAGTAGCAATGAGCCATGATCAAATGGTTGGGATTTTGATTTTGATATTTTTCAATGTTCTGAATGTCCCTGTCAGTACTGGTTTTGCTACATCTCTGCCTTTCTGTCTATCTCTCTATCTCTTCATCTCTGATTCTGCCTCTTTCACTGTAGCTTTGACTTCCATGTAAAGAAAATATAAGGGGAAAAATTTTCCAACAATTTTGGCTTCTCAGGAACATCACACTAACACCCCACTAAGTTTGCAAGAAAGTTTCTCTGTCTATTCCTACATAACTGCTGATAACTTAAAATAGTTCCAAATAACAAATAATTTATGCACTCCTTTTCCTATTTTTGGTTATTTTGAGTTCAACAGGAGACAGGTGTTATTTCACAAATTGAAAAGTGTTGTGGGCTGAGGAGTTAATTAGCACTCGTTAAGCTGAGCAGTTCAGGAAATGGGATTGCTGCTAAAGGCACCTAGACTAATTGGACTCATTAGCATCCTATTGTTTAGCTAAAGGACTGGAGGGGGAGGAGTGTAAAAGGAGTAGTAAAGGAAGGCTTCCAGAGACCAGACTTCTACCATTACTGTTTTCCTGTCAGGACTTCATCCCCAGTCCCTCTCCCTGTCCAGGTTACTGGCTCTGCTGGCTGGAGCAGAAAAGAGCTGACTATAGGGGTGTCAGTGTTTCCTGGAGAGGCTTGAAGAAATGCTCAGTGTAAGATTTCTGTGTGCAATTCTTGGATTTATAATGTATGTCAAGCTTTTATGCTGTGAGAGTTTGATTCAAACACAGAAAACTAGTGTTCTCTTTAGCAACCTTCAACTATACATAATTCATTTTAGTTAAAAACATAGGTCCAGAGAGAGCAAGTATCAGATGCAGGTAGTTAGAACCCATTGGGTTGCACAAGCCACAGCAGGTTACCCATTTCCCGTGCTGGTGCAGCTTTCAATTCCAGCATCTTACTGAGGTGCACTCTGAAAAGTGGCATGTGGAAGACCAAAACCTTGGATCCCTGACACCCACCACGGGAAGCCCAAATGGAATTCATAGCTTCTGGCTTGGTGAGCCTGGCCTGTTTCCCAGAGAGGCCAGATGTTGCCCAGGATCCGTGGCAAGCCTGAGGCTCCATGTGTATAGAGGCTGGGTCTGCAGCGGGACAGTGCAGGAAGGCCCAGATGTCAGAGGAGGGGGTGAGTCCTGCCCTAGAAGAGATGAGGCCAGAAGTGGGTTTAAAGGAGAACCCTGGAAGTCTACACATGGGGCTTCTTGGCAAAAAAGCTAATACACACAGGGGAACAGAGACAAAAAGACCACTACCGCCCTGTTCCTGGCCTGCTTCTTACCTTCCCCAGTCTGACTGCAGGATGAAGGACAGCCTCACCTGAATGGGGGACCCCAGGGCCATCCTCGGCCAGGATCACTTTCCATCACTGTATAGGAAAGGCTTTCCCAGAGGAAGCCCCTGACACTTTCCAATCCCTAGACTCACTGCATTCCATGGAAATGCTAGAGCATTTGGCTCTGCAGTTTGTCTAATAAAAGGCTGCTGTCTGCCAGGCTACCAGCCCCACTCAGGCTGCTGTCTGAGGGCCAGGATTCAGGCAAGCTGAAGGCCTGGACCTGGACAACTTTCCCAGAAGAACTGCTCCATGCCACAGCTTCCAGGAGAGAGACATCAGCCTGGAAATGCCCAAGTCATTGGCGTGATACTGTCACTCATGTAATGTGAGGCTCCTGGAGATCCCATCTAGGCCACCTCTGTGACTCCACATTCTGACCTTGTGCTGTGAACCTGGGACAGGTGCACAACACCAGCAGGTCTGCGTTCCATTGCACATTTGACAATGGTATCCATGGGACTGGTGTGTTAGAAGGACATGCACATTGTGCGCCCTGCACCTGGCTTGGAGCATCATCCCTTCATGGCCATTGTGAGCCATTTGTCACTCCTGGGGTTGACCTTGATTACTCTCTAAAGTTATGTTTCCATGTAACTTCCCAAAGGCACTCCAAGGAGACATGGCTGCCTGGTTAAGCTGAAGCATGCATGACTCCAGTTGTGTGCCAGGAGGTTGCAAGACAAAAGAACAGTGCTCCTTCTGGTGGAGCATCCATTTTACTATCAGAATTGGAAGAAAAGGTCATTCACTAAGTGGCATGTGCCTTCCCCCAGAAACATGGAAGAGAAGAACAGGATGTGTGTGTATGTATGCATGTATCGGAAGGCGCCATCCCTACAGCTTTCCCAGCTGAGGCCAAAGAGGTCCTCTCCTCTGCAGTTGGCCTCCACCTTTCATCTCCTTTCTGCTCACTCAAATTTTGCACAGGTGGCTTTGAAAGATTAAGGCATGGCCGGGGTCCCTGTGGACCTGAACACTACACGAACCCCCAGATATCTGGCCCACCTCTCTCCTCTGCAGTGTTTAGGCCACAGCTGAGCTTGCTGCCCTGCTCCCACCTGTAGCTATTTGAGTCCACACCATCATGCCAGAGCCTATGGTTCTTGAGGGAGGTTCTTGTCCTCAGTAACAAGTCAGGAGGACATTGGATACGGAAATACGCATCTCTGCTATAGTGCACATCACTGTGGACCGGTGGCTTTGGGCTGTCCTCAACTGCTTTCCCAGGCCACAGGCAGGGAGCTGCACTCACTTGGGGGACCAAGAAGAACCTCCTGGTTCATTTTGGCTATTAGGGGTGTGATTGAGTGAACATAAACTTCTATCTCCCCCATTCTATATTCCAGTCTGCCTTTCCAATACAAATAAATAAACCTTTTTTTTTTTTTTTGAACAATAGGTGGAGCAGGTCGGATGTCCATCGAGACGCCCACGGGAGGTGGTGCTGGTGGCAGCGAGGGAGAGTCCTCCTCTCCAGAAGCACAACCTCTGCCCCCTGGAGCCCTCCAAGGTCCTCCATGCTGGAGAAGCAGCTGCATCTCTCCCCTCCTGCGCTGCAGGGCCCAGTGCTGTGAGGGGCCCCAGGCCCTGTTGGGCAGTGCAGAATTTCTCCAGGGCGAGGAAAGGAAGCACAGCGAGGCGCCCTGGGGTCGGAGAAGAGGAAGAAAAGGGTCCCCATTGGTGGAGAAATCCTGCGTGGTGCTGAGGGTGCTGAGGTGGAGCAATTGGCCGCATGGTCAGTTCCTGCAAGGTGCTGTGGCCCCGCACCCTCAGTCAGTGAAGAAGCAGCAGAGGAAGAGGACACACTGCTGGGCTCTGCATGGAAAGCCCTAGGGCTGCCCGAAGATGCACTGTGGGCCCCGCAAGAGGACATGACAGGGCTCGTGGACTCCAGTTGACCCTACTCCCACCTGCTGTCCACCTGCACCCCACCTGGGGAGGGCCTCACGGTGGCCGCCATGGTGAACCCACATGGGGCCCGCTGTGTGCCAGGTGGAGTTGGTGCCGCCCCCAGAGTGCCTGGACTTTGAGCCTGGCTGGAGGAGTTCACAGACCCACTGGGCTTCACCAGCACCATGTGACCTCTGAGGAGAAAACGGACATCTACAAGGTAAGACCCCCAGGGTACAGGGGTCCGGGAAGGGGAGGTGGCAACTTGGCCCTAGTGCGTGTCCAGAGCGCAGGTGGCAGCTTGTCCTTGGGTGCAGGTCCACACGTGGTGCAGGGTTCTAAGGCTTTGGGCCATCCTACTGCTCTCCCAGGCCACAATCAGGGAGCTGGATGGAAAGTGCAGCAGCTGGGACACAAACCATTGCAGTATGGGGATACTAGCACTTGCAAGGGGAGGGTTAGTCAATTGAGTCATCACCACCTCGTTTGTTTGTCTCATCTTTTTACTTCTACAAAAAGATTTGGTGCATCATGTCAGAAATGATCTGGTGCTGATTGGACCGCTGATTGCTGGTTGTTAGCACCTTAACCAAGAAATCAAAGATACTATCTACCACAACTCTTCTATTTTAAGTTTTCCGTTTTTCACTTATAAGAAATTATTCTTGGAGTTACTGTGTAAACATTTATTTCTCATTTGAATTCACGTATTTGTAGTATATTCTTTGCCTCAATACATAGGAAATGATAAGTAATGTTTTATTTTCTAAAGACTTAGAATGAAGAGAAAGAGAGAATTTGTTGGTTTGATGGTTTACTCCCCAAATGGCCTTGACAGTTGAACCCCAGGCCAGGACCTCTAGCTGGGTGCTCCCCATGGGTGCTTTCCTGGGCAATGAGATGCCTTAGTAATGCAAGGGAGCTAGATTACAAGCGGGGCAAGTGGGATTTGAACTGGAGCCTGTATGATGCCAGTCCTGCAGATGACAGCTTACCCCAGTGCACCACAACGCTGTTCTTTAGGTAGTTGTTTTCAAATGCTGTGATTCCTTTTATTAGTTTGCATTCATTTTTCATTCAGAGATTTTAAGTGTTTGATCAAAAGGTGTTTTTCTAACCCCTGAGTGTATTAATTTATGATAGATTTTTGGAAAACTCATTTAAAACATATGAATCTGGTATAACTATATTCAGAAAGTCTATTTTTAAAGTGTAGTTATTTATTTACTTGTTTATTTGAAAATGAGGTGGATAGGGAAAGAAATCTTCTGCCTCCTGGTTTGCTCTCCGTATGGCCACAGCATCCAGAGGTGGGCTGGTCTTAGGTCAGGAGCCTCTTCCGGGTTTCCCACATGGGTGGGGGACTGAAACACCTGAGGCATCCTCTGCTGTTTTTCTCAAGCCACTTATGGGGAATTGGATGGGAAGTAGAGCAGTTGGGACATCAGCTGGCACCACATGGGATACAGGCCTAAAAGGCAGACTTTACCTGCTAAGCCACAATGCCAATCTAGTATCCTTTTAATTCACTAATTTTTTAATTAGTGTCTGTCACATTAGCTTAGTTTTCTTTTTTGCTGAAACATTTGACAGTAAGTTGGTGACATAACACTTTATCCCTTATTACTTTGACATGCACCAAAAATAAATGACCACCACAATATGACCATGGTAGCATGTTCACATTTAGCAAAGTTAACACTTTTGCTGCTGCTTCTCCTTTTTTTAAAATGGCACATCAGATTTACAGAGAGAGAAAAAGATCTTCCATTCACTAATTCACTTCCCAAATGGCCACAACTGCCATAGCAGAGCCCATCAGGAGCCCTGTCTCCCAGGTGGGTGCAGGGTCCCAAGCCTTTGGACCACTCTCTGCTGCTTTCCAAGATCGCAAGCAGGGAGCTGGGTAGCAAGTGAAGCAGCCAGGACACTGTCACAGCACATACTGTATCGTAGTGCTTGTAAGGGAAGGATTAACCAATTGAGCCACTGTGTCAGGACCAGTTGTTCTTTTACAAACCAAGCCCTCCCTTTTTTTTTTTTTTTTTTTTAATCTCCCTACCTGGACTTTTCTCAAGCGTGGAGTCTTGTGGCTGGATTTTTTTTTTTTTCATGCTCAGCAACATATTATAAAGTTCATCTATGTTGTATAAACATGGGAAGTTATTCCTCTTTATAGCCAATAATATTGTTGAAGATTATATTTTATTGATAAAATCATTAGGTGTTTTCACAGTTTGTTATGAATACTGCTTCCATTTATATAGTTTTAAAAATGTTTTGATTTGTAAATCAGAGAGAGAAAAAGCGAATTTTCTATCTGCAGGGTCACCTGTTCACAAGAGGCTGTAATGGCTGCAGCTGAGCTGATCTGAAGCTAGTTGCCAGAAACTTCTTCCAGGTCTCTCATGTGGATGCAGGGCCCAGGCTTTGGACCATCTTTTGCTGCTTTCCCAGGCCACTGCAGGGAGCTGGCTTAGTAAATGTGGACCAGCCAAGACTGGAATTGGTAACCCAATGAGATGCCAGCACTGCAGGTGGAAGCTTAGCCTAACATGCTGTGGCCCCAGCCCTGTGTTTTTGTGAACCTGTTATCAGAGTGGAATTACTGGAGCATATAGTCATTGTATCTGATTATTTAAGGAAATGCCCATTTCTAAAAGTGACCACAGCGTTTTTACATTTGTTCCTTCCAGCAGTAAATGAGGGTTCCAGTTTGTCTCCTTCCTGCCGACACTTGCTGTCTGTCTGTCTGATTGCAGCTGTCCTAAGGAGTTAGTGGTATGTGAATGTGATCTTGGTTTATACTTCCCTGATGACTATTAATACTGAGCATCTTTTCTCGTGCTTATTGGCTATTTGTATATTTTTCTTAGAAAACTGTCTGTTAAGGTCATATACCAGTTTTAGATTAGACCTTTTATAAGAGCACTTAACTAGAGCCTGGTGCGGTAGCCTTGTGGCTGAAGTACTCACCTTGCATGCACCAGGATCCCGTGTGGTCATCGGTTCTTATCCTGGCTGCTCCACTTCCCGTCTAGCTCTAGCAGTAGAGGACTGTCTAAAGCCTTGGGCCCCTGGACCCTTGTGGAGACCGGGAAGAAGGCCCTGGCTTGGCTAGGTTCTGGCCATTGCAGCTCTTTGGGGAGTGAACCCACAGGTGGAAGACTTTTCTCTCTGTCTCTTCTCTCTGTAAATGTGACTTTCCAATAAAAATAAGTAAATCTTAAAAAAAAAAAAAAAGAGTACTATTCCAGGGTTATGAAAGTATGCTGCTATGCTTGCTTCTAACAATTTTATAATACCTAGTGCATGTTTTGGTCTTTGTTCATTTTGCATTACTTTTTACTTTTAGTTTGACGTAAAGAGCCAACAATATTTTTACCACAGATGGTGATATAATTGTCACAGAAACAATGTTGGAGAATTTTTGTTCCCCTGAACCATCTAGTAACACCTTGTTAGAAATCATTTTTAAAAGGAATTTATTTTAATGAATTTCAAGAAAGATGGGAGAGACAGAGAGGTCTTCCATTCTCTGATTCACTCCTCAAATTGCCACAGCCGCCATGTCTGGGCCTGGCTGAAGCCAGGAGCCAGGTTTCCCATGTGGGTGCAGTGCTTCAAGAACATGGGCCATCTTCTGTTGTTTTCCCAGGCACGTTAGCTGGGAGTTGGATGGGAAGTTGAGCAGTGGAGACTCAAACTGGCACTCTGTGGGAATTCTCGCATGTGTAACCCATTGAGCCACAATGCCAACCCGATCAAATTCATTTGACTTTAAATGTGTGGCATCATGTCTAAATTCTGAATCCTGCGCTGCTCATGTTCTTTTCTCTCCTTGTGCCAGTACTGCACAGTCTGAGTCACATTGCTGTGTAGTGAGTTTTGAAATGGAGAATTGTGAGTTCTTCTCTTGTGTTGCTGTTTTTCAGGATGTGGGAGGGGCTATTCTGGATGTTGTGGTCTAGATTTCTGCCAAATATTGATTTTCTAAGTTCTTGCCCCTTACTTTAAAAGCATTTTAAGCACAAGTACCAACATGGCTTGGACAAGTGGTAACGTTTATTCAGATGGTGAGGAACACAGACAAATGAGTGTCATGTTCAGGGTGAGTGAGCCAGAACGTGAAAGGTCAGGGAGAGATTGCTTCTCGGGGTTTGTCCGTCTGAAGTGAGAGAGCAGTGGGAATATGAGAGGCTGAGAGTGTTAGAGGTGAAGAGAGCCAAAGTGCCAGTGAAGAAGCGCACCGCCAAGAGAGTGAGCCCTTCCCAGTGTGGCTTGGATAGGGCTGAGAGGGGAATGGGGACAACACGAAACTGCCCTCCAGGTCCTACTTAATGATGTCACAGATCATTTGACACTCAAGGGGGCAAATGGTATTATGCAGATGGGAGATGTGCAGCTTCAACTGACCCTAAACAGGCTGTCTTCCTAGACCATATCATGGGTAGCTTTAAGATCAGAGTGTTGATCTCTTCAAATGGGGACTTTTATAGAAATTGTTTTTGAATTTGTAGATTAGCTTAGGGTATAGTGCCATCTTAAGTCGGCCCATCTGTGGGATAATTTTTTTAATTTATTTATAGCTTTTTTATTTCTTTTTTCCCTAAGGTTTACTTTATTTATTTGAAAGGCAGAGCTAGAGAGGTCTTCCATCTGCTGGTTCATGCCCCAAGTGGCTGCAGTGACAAGGCTGAAGGCAGGAGCCAGGAACTTCCTGTCTTCCACTCAGATGCTCGGACCCAAGGACGTGAGCACATCATTCTGTTTTTCCAGGTGCATTGGCAGGAAGTTGAATCAAAAAGCTGGAATTCAAACCAGTATCTATGGGCTGCAGTTTTAGCTGCTACATCACAAAACCAGTCCCTGAAACATTTATTTCTATGAATACTGTTTGTATTTTTCCAAGTATAAGTATTCTGT